TTTTGTCACAAAGAAAGTATGTACTTGACTTGTTAACTGAAACAGGAAAGTTAGCTGCTAAGCCGCGTAGTACCCCAATGATACCTAATTTACAACTTACAAAGGAAGGAGAGTTGTTGATAGATCCTGAGAAGTATAGGAGATTAGTAGGGAAGCTGAATTATCTTACGGTTACGAGGCCAGACATAGCTTATCCAGTCAGTATTATGAGTCAGTTTATGAGTTCTCCTACAACTGACCATTGGATCGCATTGGAACATATTCTATGTTATTTGAAAGGTGCTCCTGGACGTGGCTTGTTATATAAAGATCATGGTCATCTTAATATTGAATGTTTTTCAGATGCTGATTGGGCAGGTTCGAAGGAAAATAGATGAATCAAATGGTTGGAACCAAACCAGATTAGGTGTTTTCTGAAACCAGAAACCCCAAGTGCTTCCCCACGACAACCAGAGGGGTAAAGGCGACTGGCGGTCACGGAAGCGCACCGCGACGAAGGTGCGAAGGACGGCGAGACGAAACCCACGAATAGAAATTGGAAAAATAATTGGCAAATCAGCAAACGGCGGCGGTGGGCGGCGGCAGTGGGCGGCGGCGACGGCTGTGGTGAGTGTTGGATAGCAATGAACAAAAACCCTAAGGGACAAAACCCTAATGGGCCCAAAACCCTAATGGGCACCAAAACCCTAATGGGCACAAAACCCTTATGGGCATCAAAACCCTAATGGGCACAAAACCTAGAGCTCTGATACCATGTAGAGACTAAGGTTGGATAAAATCCAATATTTTGTATTCTCATTATTAAAGTCTATATATATAGACAAATATACAAAGTTGACCTAATCCTATAAGGAGAAGGTAAAGGACAAATTAATATTAATACAAGAATATAAAATATACTAATATATACTCTAACAACTTCAAAATAATCGTCTTGAACCAAATTTTTGCATTCGATTCTACACTAATGGTGAAAGTGCTGAATATGTCTTCCTGAGATGCCCTTTCACTTTTTTTCTTTTATCCTTTACCTTAAAAGGAGGCATTATAGTGAATTATACTCTCCCTTCAAAGTTCAACAACTACTCTCTTAATGTTCTTATTACAAGTTGGAAGGCTTTCTTGTAATTGCCCATGTGGCCTTTTGTATATTTCATACCATCAATGAAATATTTGTTTCATACCAAAAAAAAAAAAAGTGAATTATACCATAAACCTCCCCCCATGCACGATGCACCCTTTACACCCTGAAAAGACCTCCTATTTTGTCGAGCCAAAACCTCCACAAAATGGTAAAAGAATTGGCTTGTCACATAAGATTCCCTTTCTTGCAGTGGAAAGTGTGCACCTCTTCCGTCATAGACCTAGATGATGAACCAGCATCATTCGTAAGGAACTTCAGCAGCTCTACCAAGAATTCACAGCAAAAAAACATCTACAAAAAATCTGATTGAGTTTCTATGTAGCCTATTTGCACAGAACACAGCAATGTGAGCTGAGCACCTATGAAGAACATTAGTGGTGTTAATCCACCCTAAAGAAGCAAACCAAGAGAGTCTCTGCATAAGAACTCTAAATGCTGCACGAAATATTCACAGCAATTGAATAACTCCAAAAATAACTTGATGCCTATTTGCACAGCACACATCGATGCAGGCCAGCACCAGAGGACCTATGAATAAAGTCAACAGTATTAATCATCTTAAAGAAAGAAGCCTAAGAGTCATTTTAATATTCCCAAATTGACGAATCTGAAATTAGTGAAGCGTACATTTAATAGAAGGGTATTTTTTGTTTTACCATCAATATTTCGATGAGTTAGGCCTGTGACAAGCAAAGTTGTTTTTCATTTATTCAGAATGTTTGTGGGAAACTAAACCATAATTTATTAAATGAGTTACTAAGCGAGGTATGCGGAATTAGAGTTTCAATAATTAACAGATTAAGAGTTACAAAATGAGATATACGGAGATTATATCCTTAAACTGAAGCTTAAGAAACAGCTTCCCTTCATGTAAAGAGATGTTATTTGCTGCTTATTTTGCAGATTCATGTGCAAACTACTTATTCACTTTTTATATCGTCAAACCAACTTGATATTTTTGAACTTTTCTTTAGGAAGTTTTGTGTAACTTCTTTGGTGTTTGGGGTTTACTCTTTCCCCCTCTTTTGTAATTTCACTCATCAATGAAATTGTTTCTTATAAAAAAAAACTTTTCTTTAGGAACCAAGGTAGAAGGTATTTTACGGCAGTCTGCAGATGTTGAAGAGGTAGACCGCAGAGTTCAGGAATATGAACAAGGTATTATTTAAATGTTTCTAATTGACGAGGACACGATTAAGTAAACCACAAATTATGTGGATGATCCGTTTGCTGTCAAGTATATGCATGCAGTCAAGTTGGAATACATGCCTTAATTTGCTTTATTACTTCTAGGTAAGACAGAATTTGGTTCTGACGAGGATGCTCATGTCATTGGTGATTGTATTAAGGTGCTTGCCTTCACCATATTTATGATATCTTGATTTTTTAATTTATATGTACAATTTTGACATCTTGATGAGTTATTTGAAATGTAGCACATTCTAAGAGAGCTTCCATCATCACCTGTTCCAGCTTCATGCTGCACTGCATTGCTCGAGGCTTATAGTAAGTTCCCTAATCCCATTATAATTCTTTCAAATCCCTTTAGTATGCATCATTTAAAGTTAAGGATAATCTAACTAGTCATCATAGGATCTTGAAGATTAGCAAATTTGTGTGTGCTTTTTGGAATCTATATATATATATATATATATATATATATATTTTTTTTTTTTTAATAAGATTAAGAGATATGAAATTACAGAAAGGAGACCATATAGAAGTATAGGCCAAAGCACCAAAGCGAATCTAAATTACAAAAGCGGTTCCAATTGGTATACAACTTCCCTCCCTATCTAAAGCGGAGGCCTTGGGGTGGGAAACCTTAAAGATGAAAACCCAAAATCAAGCCATAGATTCAAGAGACCTTGGGTGCGGATCTCAAAATGCTGTATTAAAGCTGATAAGTGGTATAAGTGTGAGGTTGGAAGAGGAGACAAGGTTTCGTTGTGGGCCGATCAATGGCTTTCTAATAAACCCCTAAAATAGATTATCCAAGGCTGTGTAGGCTGGAAAATACTCAAAATTCCGTTGTTTCTCAATTCTGGAATGCATTTTCTAAGAGCTGAGACCATAATTTTAGAAAAAATCTCACAGATTTGGAAACCGATGAATGGGCGTATAAACTTGATCATGGGCTTTAATATTAGAGAGTGTGATGATAAAAAAAGGGTGGTCTCTTGATAAACTAAGCACCCATGTCAGAATTTGAAAAAGTTTTCCTGACTTGCTTTGTCTCCTAGCTTGTGTGTGATGTGTAAAGGGAATGGGGAAGATAGTCAGCCCCTTCTTTTTTCGTGCCCATTTGCTTTCATGTGCTGGAATGCTCTCCTCAATCTTTTCAAGCTTTCAGGGACTTTCCCCATTTTGGGCTTAGATGGTTGGATTCAGCTCTTACATGGGACCGTTTTTGTTAGAAGGTTATAATTTTGTGGTACAATGCTGTGGTGGCTCTTCTCTGAACCTGTGGGATGAGAGATGGGAGGATCTTCCAAGGGGAAAACATGCCTAGAGATGTCTGTTGGGATAATGTCAAATATCATGCTTCTTTTTGGTGCTCCCTTAGCAAAGAGTTATGTAATTATGGGTTTTCTCAAATTTATACCAATTGGGAATTTTTTTTGTAAATGGTTTTTTTCCGGAGATATCTCATCCCCTTTTGTGTTTTGTCTTTGATTGATACAAGTTATGTTTTTTACAAAAGAAATTATTAACAAGTAAAAATAAGGGATGCTCACTATTTGACATAGGTTGTTCTCCATGAACAAAGATTGGGTGACTTTTGGGCCTTTAACACTGAAGGTGGAATACTGGAATATATATATATATTTTTTTGACAATTGGGAGTCGGTACTTTGCTCCCATATACCCAGAGCCACTCGTGCCCACCCTTAGGCTCGGACCCCAGCAGACATCAAGAATTTTTGGTATTAAGCTCATCGGAAGGTTCGAATCTGAGACCTCTAAGCCAGCATGACCAAGAGACCCTAAACCCTTGCCAACTAGGCTGCCCTTTGGGGCAGAACGGAATACTGGAATGTATTGAAACACACAAAATGCGAGTGGTGCCCTAACTACCCTCCTATGGGAGTTGGATAAGACTCAAGAATATTCTCCTGCATTTATGATCAAAAGAAATATTCATTGTGATTGGGGAGGTTTTTGGGTGTTTCATCAATTATGAACATAATAACTCGGGCCTTATTGGTTGTGTAGGAGGCTCAAACCAGAAGGGCCCACAAAAGTCTGAGGGTTCTTTTGGAGGCATTCTCTTGATGTGGAAAGAGGCAAATATTTTTGTAGTAGAATCAATTGTGGGTTCGTTTTCCATATCTGTTTTATCTCTGTTTAATTGTTGTGTGAATATTTGGTTCACAGGGGTTTATGGTTTAGCTACACCCCATGGTCGTGAGGATTTCTAGTAGGAGATAGTAGACTTGGCTGACTTTTGTCAAGGGAATTGGTGCCTAGGGGGATTTCAAGGTGATAAGAAGGTGATAAGAAGAACATCTGAAAACCTTAACGGGGCAGAATAACATCTAGCATGAACAAGTTTAATGTCCTAATCTCAAACCTTGAGATTAATGACGTTCCGCTATGTAATAGGGTATTTACTTGGTCTATCTTTAGAGGTTGTATGGTAGCATTCAGATTGGATATAATCTTTTATTATTATGTCTAAATAAATGGCCGAGGTGCTCAGAGATTTTATGTGGGATAGAATGGCCAGAATGACATCCGACCACTACCCTCTTCTTTTAACCATGGGAGCGCAAAATTTGGGGCCCTATGCTGTTCCGTTTTGAAAATGTCTTGTTGGAGTCTCCTCAATTTTTGGAAAATTGTGAAGCTTGGTGGACTAGCTCGAAGGTTTATGGGTGGCCAGGCTGATAGGTTTTGGCCCTAGATGGAGAAGATGGAGGTTGTGTTCTTGACTGCTTATTTTTCTATTTTTGGTAATAGGAGTTCCAGGGGAAGATCTTTGCAAAAAGAGGTTTGAGATAGGGGATTCCCTATCCTCTTTCCTCTTCACCATTATTGGAGAATCTCATAATCGCCTTATTTACTACTGTAATGAGAGCCATACGTGGTTTCGAGGTTGTGGAGGTGAGTCATCTTTAGAATGCAAATGATACTATTATATTCAGCTAGGGCTCTGTTAATAGCCTTATAGACTTCACTGGTGTCATGTATTGAGTTTGGTATTGTAAGGCTCTAGTCTTTCTTTGAATCTTTCGAAGACCTTCATTATCGGGGTAAATATCTGCCCCCAAGAGGTCAATGAGGTGACGAAATGGCTGGGCCTGGGGTGTAGAAGCGAGTCTTTTTTAGTTAACTATCTTGGATTCCCTCTAGGCAAATATCATAGGAGATTTGACTTTTTTGGAAAACAGATTATGGAGAAATTTAGTAGGAAGTTGGAGAAATGGAAGGACTTGCAAATCTCAAAAGCGGGGAGATTACTGTGGCACAGTTGGTCTTAAATAGTCTCGCCCTCTATTATTTCTGTCTCTTACGGGCTACGGTAAAGGTTATCAACTCTTTTGAAAAGATATCTGGAGCTTCTTGTGGAGTGTTGGTGATTATAAACCAGGATATCATTTGGTTTGCTAGAATTGATTCTTTGCCCACAAGGTAGTGTAGGGCAACTCCTACAGACAGAGAAATGAGGCCCTTGGTGAAGAGCTTTTGTTTGGCAGCTTTGGAGGGAAAGAAATCGACGTATTTTTGAAGATAAAGTTTAATGCTTCAGACATTTTGTAGTTTTGTACAGCACAATAACTCTTGGTGGTGGTCAAACCATATGAAATTCTTTTGTAATTATAGCCCTTTGTTGGTTATTTCAGATTGGAAGGCTCTTCTTGTGTAAGTAGTTCAATCCCTGGCAGGGGTCTTCTCGTCCCCCATCCCCTAGGCTATTCATTTGACATCTGAATATACCCTCTTCTGTTTCTTATAAAAAAAATCACTATTTGGCTTATTTTCTTCAATAAAATGTAAAAAGATCAGTGTTAATCATTTTAACTATTGTCCTTCTTGTTTAAGAAATTGATCGAAAAGAAGCGCGGATTAATGCCATGCGATCATCTATATTGGAGACCTTTCCTGAACCAAACCGGCGTTTGTTACAGAGGTAGTTGTTCATCTATAACTGTATACTTGGTACTTTGGTGGGCTCGCTTTAATTATCTATCATCTTTAAACAGGATTGAAAATTCTGGATTTTTCTATTATTGTTCCATTTCCCAGTATGTAAATTTGATCTCGGATTGGATTTCCTCATTCTCTGTCCAGAGTTTTAAAGATGATGCATACTATCTCTTCTCATGCTCACGAGAATCGGATGACTCCATCTGCTGTTGCTGCGTGCATGGCACCTTTGCTTTTACGGCCTCTATTAGCTGGCGAATGTGAGTTGGAAGATGAGTTTGATGTAAATGGTGATAACTCTGCCCAGCTGCTGGCTGCTGCCAATGCAGCTAATAACGCTCAAGCGATTGTTACAACTCTTTTGGAGGAGTTTGAGAATATTTTTGATGTAAGATGCTCTCCTTCTAGCAGTTTTCTTATTGTTTGATAAAGGACTGCATTATTAGCTTGGTTTTTGGAAAAGTATGTGGTAACTTGGTCCCTTAACAAGCACGAAGTCCATCATCTGAAATTATTTCAACTAGTTTAGTTGCCAAAAATATTGGTTTCGCGTAGCTATTTGACTTCATGGGTCTTTTTTTTAAACATGATACTAACTTATCATTGAAATAATGAAAAGGAACAAAATTGTTCAAAGATACAAACTCTCGAAAGAGTGAAGATATAATTGAAACATAAAATTAAAATTCTAAAAAGATTTCATTAAGAAATATTAAAGAAGTTATGCTTATAAGATAAATT